CAGAAAATATCCCAACTTCTGGCTATGTGGAAAAATATTTTACTTTCTATTTCTGCAACAACAATAATTTTTTATTAAAGTACATCATTTTAACTAAAGAATCACGCAAGTTTCATTTCATGAAATAACAAAAAAATGGCAGCTTTTCTTTGAAAAAGTGATATTTTTCAAAATGGTAACTCATTTATAATTAATTTTCGATTGTTAAATAGTTTTTTCATTAAATTAAATAATACCGTTAGATTTGTGAGAAAATTTTACCCCAAAAAAGTGTGGTTTTCAAAACATTTATTTTTACCCTCAAGAAAGATGTACAATTTAAGATGTTATATCCAAATTCGCACCATCATTCTATTAGTGGGTTCTCGAACGAAGTGTGCCATTTGAAGGTTAAACGAGGTGGAGCCCCCCGTAGGGGGCGAAACATACTGCCTTCACGAATATACTTTGCAACGCGAAGCAAGATTCCACATGAATTTGTAACTTTTTACGCGAAACGAGGTCTGTCCCCACACCAAGAAATGGTTTGGATTAGGTGTCGTAAGCAAATGGTCATTTTAGGAAAATATAGCTTTTGACTAAACATTGCCTGGTCAAATGTAATTTTTGCTTTGCGTTGCAAAGTACGCGTAGAGGCAGTAACCCCCCATAAGGGGGGGGCTCCACCTCGTTTCAAACTAACTTAACTCAAACTATTTTTTAATGGGAGGTGAACCTCGCTTTGCGTAAAAAGTTGCAAACCCACATGGAACCTCGCGATTCACGTTGCAAAGTAACATGTGTTCATTTGACTAGGCAAATAGCATTTGTTTAATCAAAAGCTATTTGCCAAAATTGAACCATTTGCCTGCGACATATGTATGTACTTCGATGAATTCCATTTTCTTAAAAAGCGCTCAGGCAAATGATATTACCTAGAAAAATAGCATTTGAAAACAAAACAACGAGAAGAAAGTCATTTAGCCAGGCAAATAGCATTTGCCTAGTTAAAAGCTATTTTCTTAAAATGGCCATTTGCCTATGACACACATACCAATAAACGGTTTCTTTACTTTAATCAATTCCTACATACATATACAGGGTGTATATTCCTGACTCAATTCTGAGAAGATTTTTCTTTTACCAAAATTTTATCCGAAGCTTAGTTTTCAAATTATAACAAGAAATAATTATCGAATTATGGGCCGCGTATGGAAGGTAGACAGGGGCGCGCAACTTACTGTCGGACGCAGGCGGTACGCGGGGCCCTCGCGACGATCAGCTGACTGCTACACGCGCGCATACACATGACATTTTTAAGGACATGCGATTACATTCTCTCTTGCTC